AAGTTACGCCATTTTGTTACCTAATTTCATGCCTTAATCTCCATGATCATCATAGCACACACACGTTCACATTTTCATTTCCTTAAATCACTCTTGCTCTCACAATGCTTCCACTACCTTTCCACATGTACATATGCTTCCACTCTCTTAATTTATCCCACTTCATACACGTACTCATCTCATGCCACATTTCATGCACACTTTCATCCACTTACATTTCATGCATTTCATATTAGCCTTATGTTTGTTTATCTTATGCCAATTAATAGTAGTAGTACCTAATATATGTATATATATTTTAAGCATACGTAATATATATTAACTAATATATATTTGCATGCACTATACGTAATATATATATATATATATATATATATATATATATATATATATATATATATATATAGAATAAAGTTCAAATGCGGCGGGGTCTTCCCGTGCGGTCGTGCGGCGGAATTTCAGAATACACCAACAGTGTTAACAATATGCACCAATAGTGTAATAAAAACACACCCAATGAAATGTAATAAAACATCACAAAATACACAACAGACTCAAAAAAATACACCATATAACTCACCACCCCCAATGGTGTATTTCCGAACAGTGTATGGTGTTTTTACTCACACCTAATGGTGTGTGTTTGGTGATGCGGGGCTCTGTTTACTCTGTTTTGTGTGGTGTATTTTTCTAACGTTGATGGTGCATATTTGTTGAACTATTGGTGTTGCCGCACCGTAAGACACTGCCGCACCTAAACTCGCCTATATATATATATATATATATATATATATATATATATATATATATATATATATATATATATATATATATATATATATATATATATATATATTAAGTGTAGTAATATATACATATATATAGTACTATACTAACGATGATGATGTAAAGTACATGATGAAGTGATGTATTCATAAGATCCCAACTAGAACATGAATGATAAAGGGTAATATTCCTAATAATATATAGGGAGAGGAAGATGAATTTTAGTGTGTCTAGAATACAGGGTCATAATACGCATCCTCAAGCTTAAGGTTCTCTAGAGAGAACATTGAGCTTGTTCCTTGGATCATTTAACCTTGTTGTGGTTAGTAACCTGGTGAAGATGCACACCAGTTGGTCTTTTTGTAGAGATGTAATTTCCTTGTTTTTCCATACTTCCTTTGATGCTACTTTGTAATCAACAAAATAAAAAAAATCATGACAAATAAAATTTTCGCCTGCATGATTGGCTACAACAGAACACTTCATCTAGAGCGTAGCTACAACGGAACATTCATCGAGAGCGCAGCTACAACGGAAAACTCATCTTGAGTGTAGCTACAACGGAACACTCATCCGAAGCGCGACTACAAGTCTGCAACAAGACACTCATCCCGAGCCTTAATAAATTAAGTCAGACACAAAAACGTGTCTTCAACATATCTACTGAGATTTTGATCACGGAGAAAGGAAACAAGTTTAGATTGTGGTTAGATAGACAATATCGAAGAAGATGTGAAAAGATAAGGTGGTCTCACCGACCGGTGGTGGGGTTAGTGGCGATGAGAACAATAGTTCTGATAATAATTTTATTATTGATCAATCATGATGATATAAAGTACATGCATGACGAAGAGATATGTTTATAAGGATAAAAGAGTAACAGGCAGGATTGGAATTGTAAATGATAATATTCCTAGCTAATAATATAAGGAGAGAGAGATTGAGTTCTAGTGTGCGTAGGATACAGAGTCTTAATAGACATGACAATAGCTTGAATACGTAAATAATTAATACAACAAAAAATAAAATAAATTATTATTATTATTGTTACTAGTATTTTCACCCGTGCGATGCACGGAATAGATTTATTACAATATTTTAAGAATATTTGGATCGATATACAATTATATAAATTATAACATCGAATGTTATATAATACAATTGAAGAATTGAGTTGTATCGATTGTATTTTCTGATGTTATCATTGCTTAAATTCGAGCAAATAATTGCCTAATTAATAGCCAATAGGTAGATGTACGCATCCGGTGCTGAAACTTTAGAGATTTTATATATCAGTGTTTATAGTTTGTATTAAGTGGCAAATTTGCTCGTTGTCTAGCAACCCAGTTATATAAATCATTTGCTATTCTAATTTATTTGTATGGAAGATATATTTCTGTGTAGATATATATTAATTTTGTCATCTTCGCATAAAAAGATAACATAATATCACTGGTTAGAATTACACATTATTAAACATCTTTGTAGACGACATTGGTAGTAGCAACAGAATCTTGTCCACCTTCGTCTAGAGCTAACACCTTCAGGCCATCAAGATGGGTGACTCGGGAAAAAGTCACATAAAATTGATCATTGCCCATTGCATTACTATTTTCTCTAGGAAATCAATGAGCTCTGATCCATATGTATCCCATATAATACATATACTATAGTTAATCTGTTTTCTTTTTGGAATAGTTAATCGGGGATCATTTAGAATTTTGAGTCAAATAGTAATATTCATTTCCTTTTTCAATTGGCCTAATTTATGTGTCATTTTTAATCATAGTCAATTATTTTTTAAATACATATATTTGTACTATAGTTAATCTGTTTTCTTTTTGAAATAGTTAATCGATGATCATTTAGAATTTTGAGTCAAATAGTAATATTTATTTCATTTTCAATTGGTCTAATTTATGTGTCATTTTTAATCATAGTCAGTTATTTTTTCAATACATATCAATTAGGTAATTATTAATAAAAGATTTTTAAAAAAAAAGTATTTCCAGTCAATTATTAATTATAGATTCTTTTTCCAGTTTACCTATACTATTGTTAATTCGTTTCCTTTTCGAAATAGTTAATCCGGATCATTTTTAATTTTGTCTATCAACTATTAATATTCATTTCTTTTTTTAATTGCCATATAATAAACATAGTCATGCAATAATGTAGTAACAATCTTCTCTGTGCAAAGTATTCTCAAATAGTTTGCTCATTGCATGACTATTTTCTCTGGAAATCAATGAGTTCAGATCCATATGTATCCCATATAATACCTATATTATAGTTAATTTGTTTTCTGTTCCAAATAGTATCATTTTTAATTTCCAGCCAATTATTAATATTCATTTCTTTTTTCAATTGGCATAATTTTTGTGCCATTTTTCTTATGTCAGTCAATTATTATTTTGTTACTACATATCAATTAATTAATTATTAATAATAGATTTTTTAAAAATATTTTCAGTCAATTATTAATAACAGATTCATTTTCTAATTTATTTATACTATTGTTTGGGCGGTCTGGCCATTTCCTTTTTCAATTGAATCAATTTGTGATCACTTTTAATTTTTAATCAAGTATTAATATTCGTTTTCTTTTCCAATTGGCCTAATTTCCATGCCATTTTTATTATCAGTCAATTATTCCTTTTTAATACATATTAATTAGTTAATTATTAATAACAGATTTATTTTTAATATTTCCAGTCAATTATTAATAACATATACTTTTTCCAATTTACCTATACTATTGTTAATCGGTTTCCTTTCCGAAATAGTTAATATGGGGATCATTTTTAATTTTCAGATAATTATTAGTATTCTTTTCCTTTTTCAATTGGCCTAATTTCCGTGTCATTTATATTCTTAGTCAATTATTTTTTTAATACATATCAATTAGTTAATTATTAATAACAGATTCTTTTTTTAATATTTTCAGTAAAATATTAATAATAGTTTCCTTATCCAATTTACATATACTATTATTTGAGCGGTCTGGCCATTTTCCTTTTTCATTTTGGTTAGTTTGAGATCATTTTGTTCAGTCAATTATTAATATTCACTTCATCTTTCAATTGACCTCATTTCCGTACAATTTTTATTCTTAGTCAATTATTATTTTTAAATGCATATCAATAAGTCAATTAGTTAATTATTAATAACAGATTCTTTTTTAAATACTTCCAGTAAATTATTAATAAAAAAAATATTTTATCAATTTACATATACTATTGTATGGGTCATGGGTGGTCTGACCATTTCGTTTTGTGTTTTTTTTTTTTTTTTTTTTTTTTGCATTTGCATTTGAGTCAGTTTGAAATCATTATTAATTTTCAGTCAATTATTAATATTCATTTCCTATTTCAATTGACCTAAATTTCGTGTCGTGTTTATTTTCAAGTAATAATTATTTTTTGTAATATTATTTTTAAAAACTATAGTTTCACATCTGAACATGGTGCGAATAAACAAATAAAACAAATGCCTATTCAAAATAACGTAAAACCATGCAATCTTCATTTTTGTTATATTTTATATTTATAATTTTAAAATCATGGTGTTCTATACTTTCTCTATCTATTGCAGTCCAAAGAGTCAAGATGCACCACCGGAGTTCAACCCTGTGACCTTTCCTCAAAGGGAGCAACAGAGGTGTCATTTTAGCACATGGTGATTGGCCCATTAAAGACTACTTAAATAAAGATTGAAACAATTATTATTTTGTTTCCATTTTAAACCTAAAAAAAAAAACAAAAAAAAACAAAAAAAAAAAACAAAAACAAAAAAAAAAACTCTTTTCCCCAAGTAAAAAAATAAATAAATAAAATTCATACAAATAGTGAAAATTCGTAAATTATCTTTTCTAATTCATAATATTCCACCTATTTCATAATTATATTCTCAGTTAAACAAATCTTTTTCTAATTTGAATTTAGTTTGTGTCCACATAAACAAATGTCTGCAGGAGAGCAACAATATTACAATCACTTGGAATTGAGAAGTACCTCAATGCATAAAACAAAAAGAAAAGAGACGTCAAACTCATTGTTATACACAATCAACTAACAACTATTTACCAAACATGCCAAAATAGAATTGAAAATTAGAGAAACAAAAGATTAGTAAAATAAAATCAAAATTATCAACGTTTACTACAAATCATAGAACTATAATTAATAACATTTACCTGGGAGTCATGGAGTAAGCACTGCAGTGTCTGTTGGTTGACTGTGGAACGTGGATATTCGCTTGACAAATACCAATGCATGAGCCGGAGCCTTATACAACTTTTTCTCGTCTTGGGAGATAGGTCGAAAGCAGAGACGAAAAAAACAGACTCCATTAGTAAAAAAATATTGTTGAAATGCACAGATTATAAAATTTCAAATCTCCAAAACTACAATATTATATTGTTAGATTTTTCTTGTATTTGTAGTGTGAAATTTTTTTGTGCGTTCAAAGAGTTATGCATGGAGTATTTGTAGTGCTAGATAGAATATATTTAGGAATGGAGTATTTGTAGTGCCAGATATAATATATTGTCCTATTGCATTACGAATAGGGATTTTAATGTAGAATTATAGTACGAATAGGAAAGTAAAAAAATAATATATTCTATTAGAAATTGTATTACACTATTTTATAATATTAGGTAAGGGGAAAGAATATGAATTGTAACCTAGAATTATAGTACGAATAGGAAAGTAGAAACGATATATTTTATTAGAAAGCGTGATTTTCTTACGCGTGGAGTATTTGTAGTGCCAGATAGAATATATTTACGAATGGAGTATTTGTAGTGCTAGATAGAATTAATATATTGTCCAAGGCCGGCCCAGAGGGGTGGGAAGATTCAATAGTTATGTTGTGCAATCGAATGCACCATGCGCATGGTGCATACGATGCAAAACGACGTCATTTTGACTAAAAACGCGCGTCCCACTTAAAAAAAAAAAAATTCAGGTTCGATTCTCGGCAATAGCATTATTATGGATATATAGTTATGAATTTCTGGATATATAGTTATGAATTTATGGATATATAGTTATGAATTTATGGATATTTAGTTCATTCATTGTAGATATTTACTTCATTCATTCACTGTGGATACATAGTTATGAATTTCTGGATATATAGTTATGAATTTTTGGATATGTAGTTATGAATTTATGGATATTTAGTTCATTCATTGTGGATATTTAGTTCAATCATTGTGGATATTTAGTTCATTCATTGGGGATATTTAGTTCATTCATTGTGGATTTTTACTTCATTCATTCACTGTGGATATATAGTTATGAATTTGTGGATATATAGTTATGAATTTATGGATATATAAAAATACTATTGCCGGGAATCGAACCTGATTTCTTTTTTAAGTGAGACGCGCGTTTTTTAACCAAAACGACGTCGTTTTGCATCGTATGCACCATGCGTATGGTGCATTCGATTGCACAGCATAATTTGCGAGGCTGGGCACCTGTCCAGGGCCCATCTCTAGAGGGGTCCATAAGCTATAAGATATTGTATATAAATATAGAATATTATTTAGTATATATTAAAATACATTGGGTTAATTGTTGTATTGTTGTTTAAGAATCTTAAATTATACCGTATTATTGTTTAAGAGTTAGAAATTAGAAATTTTGTTTGTATCTTCAATAAAGAAATTTTGTTTGGGGGGCCCTTAGGGTTGGGGTTCAGCCTTTTGGAAGAATAAAGAAATTTTGTTTGTCTTTTAATTCTATTTATTAGGATTCCTATGTATAATGAAATTGTAAGTTTATTAGTTTTAATTTATGAAGATTTGATTTATTTTAACTTATTTTATGTATTGAGAAGGATATATTAGAGAATATTAATCTTTGATGCAATTAAGATGATTTTGCATCAAAGTAAAACACGTAAAAAAAATTTTATAATTGTTTTTGTATTTAAAAAATGGAATAAGGTTCAAATTGGCAAGTGAACATAACCTGAAAATGCAATTAGGTCACTGAATGAAAAAAAAAAAAGTGCAATTAGGCCACTGAATACTCCAAATGTATACAATTTCACCTGATAGCATGTCACCATCAATTTTAGCAGGTTATTGGTTACGTGGCAGCTGAGTTGGCATTTTTAATAATTTTTAATAAATTTTAAAAAAACGACGGGGTGGTCGGCGGCCACCCCGTCGTATTATTATTATTTTTTTCAATTTTTTAAAAAATTTATTATTAAAAATTATTTAAAAATATTAAAAATGTTAACTCAGGTGCCACGTAAGCAGGTAACATGCTAAAATTGATGGTAACCTGCTATCTGGTGAAATTGTACATTTGGAGTGTTCAGTGGATTAATTACACGTTTTTGGAGTGTTCAGTGACCTAATTGCACTTTTTTTTTTCGTTCAGTGACCTAATTGCATTTTTAGGTTACGTTCAGTGACCAATTTCTACCTTATTCCTTAAAAATTGTTGAAAATTCTATAATATTATTTCATGTTTTTTTTTTTTTTGAAAATTCATGTTATTTAATATTATCATTTTTTTAGTATTATTAAATTTAAATTTTAATTTTTCGGTCCTTTTTTAAATTTCGCCCCGGGCCTATAAAATGTTTGGACCGGCCTTGATATTGTCCTATTGTATTAGTAATAGGAATTTTATTGTAACCCGCATGGGCAGCTCAATTGGTTACAGAGGTGAAACTTTGGAAAAATGACCAGGGATTAAGTCTCACCAGCAGCAGTGTGAGAGCGACCTCCCAAAGTTTCCTTGTATGCACTATTTTATAATATTAGAATAGGAATTTTAACCTAGAATTATAGTACGAATATGAAAGTAGAAAACAATATATTTTATTATAAAACGAGATTTTTTAGGAATTGGGCAGGAAGTTAAGGTTCAGGATTTTGTTTTTATATAAAATATAGATAGATAGTATAGATTATTATTATTACTAGTAATTCACCCGCGCGATGCACGGAAAAAAATGATGTTATTATAAATATAAATAAAAAATAGAAAAAATAAAAATATTTTAAATTGTTTAATATAATAATATTTTTGAGCTTCCATCGGTCAAGTATTTATTATTTTTATAGAATACAAAATTACAATTAAAATTAAAATTAAAATTTTGTATGGTTAATATAATCTCTAATTATGTACATATTCAAATAAATTTATAGAGAGAATTTACATAATTACATTGATTTATTCTTAATTGTATTTCATCTATATTATAATTTTCACAATACGAATAATAACTAAAATAATTACATTTAGAAAGTAAATTTCAAATTTTGTATGAGTAAATTTAAAATAAATGTAATCCTTTGTTATGGGGGAGAAAAAAATAACTATTTTATTTTTCAAATGTTGTGCTTTTTTTTTTATAATAAAGGATGTTGTGGCTATCACTACTGGAAATTATGGAATTTTCGACCACCTGAAAGTGATATTAAATCAAGTTGATACCAAAAAGTGATCGGAAATAGCAACAAAGGTTTTTCCGGATACCAAAAGTGGTCGGAACAAGGTTTTTGACTTGATTTAAGATCACTTTCAGGTGGTCGGAAATTTCATAATTTTTAGTAGTGTATTTTATAATATAATAAGGATAAAGATAATAATTGTAACAATAATTACTCACTAAAATAATAATTGTAACATTAATTATTTCCCAAACCATATAGCTTTATTATAGTTAAGATTATTATTATTATTATTATTATTATTATTATTATTATTATTATTATTATTATTATTTAACTATACGTTGTTGTAGGGGCAGATCCAAAGCTTGATTATGATGTTGACTTACCATCTAATTAATATTTTGATTGTTACACCCTGATTAATTAAATATCTGGATTAACCAAACGGCTAAGTTATTGTTACATATCTCCAACTTATATATAGTAACTAGTTTTTTTTATATGCGATGCGCAAAAACATATGCATAATATTTATATCTTTTAAAATAATTAACAAATTCCTACTAATTAAAATCTATATGAAATCAAATTTATTTATTATAATAATTCAATATATAATGTCTACAAATATTATTATCATCAAATAATATAAGAAAATATATGGTGGATGCATGTGCATGTTAACAATAAGGGAAAAGATAACGGAAGTTATAACAATAGGGGTATTTTTGTCCAAAAATTTATATAGTACAACTCTAAAAGCATAATGTACAAAATGATTAGTTAGCATTAAAAACATGGACATAAATGAGGGATATAACTTTGATTGAGACTTATTATGTTTTTAGATAATAACAAAAATAAGGGGTAAACACAACCAAGTTGGTCAGGCTATTGTTTGGTAACTATAAGTCTTCAATATCGATTCTCGGTGAAAGCGGCATATTGACTTTCTTGGTTTGAGCTTATCAGCTTATAGAAAATCTAGACCAGTTTACCTTATTGTTGTCATTTATCAACTAAGACCACAAGGTGCCGGACACTCCTCCTGTCCGGAGGGAATCATTTGTTGTCATTCATATCATGTATGCCTCAACTGGGTATGGAGCCACGTCAGTCAAGTATAGAGTGTCATAGTTTACCTAATACACACCCTTAAATATAGTAGTAGTTGAGGAAAGCCAAAACCCCCTTGGTTTACTTCTCCTCTATGTGATTTGGGAGCTATTATACATTAGCGTAATGGAATTTACTCAGTATTACGTCATTGGATAGTGAATGCGAGTTTTACCCGGTCTTCCAAATATTAATAATAACAAATGCAAATCCCAAATTACATTGCCAGCTGATATATAGATTTCTTAATAAAGTACTTAAGACCTTCAACTGTAAAAGTCTTACTTTCTAAGATTTTAAGGAATGTTTGTGAGTATGAAGCAACAATTTTCATCATCATCCTATATATTAGTCACTTCAATGTATAACATTGATTGATGCATCCAGCCAAACAACCCCTTGTTATATTTGTGAGTTTTCTGTCAAACAATTACTAACTCCATTTCTATGACTTTTTGTGAAAATTTGGAGGTAATAAGAGATCCAAAAACTTGGGTTTTTTTTTTTCCGGATGAAGTTTCTCTTTCTCATCAAACAAATAAGTGATTCTTTTTAATTTGATGATTCGTTCTGAATACAAAGAAGGAATTTTTAAAAATTAGGCAGATAGAAATGAAGGAAAAAGAAAAAAAAAATTATTACCCAAGATTCTCGATTTCACTGAATTATATCTTGAACTCATTAACCCGTCTCGTCCCAAGACTTATAAAGGAGGTAAGTTTTAAGTTGTTCAAATGATTTCAAGTTCACCCCGCCAGTATACTTCTATACCCTATGTACAAGAG